AGGAGAACAGGAGGAATTCTGAGGTAGGAACATGGCCCATGCTGGTGGCAGTGTCACAGAGAACAGGAGGAATTCTGAGCAGGAATGGCCCATGATTGTGGCACAGAGTTAGAGGGGAGGAATTTAGAGGCAGGAATGACCCATGATTGTGGCACAGAGTGGAGAAGAACAGGAGAAATTCTGGAGCAGGAATGGTCCATAATTGTGGCACAGAGTCAGAGGAGAAAGGAGGAATTCTGGGGTAGGAACGTCCCATGATTGTGGCACAGAATCAGAGAAGAACAGGAGGAATTCTGGGGTAGGAATGTCCCATGATTGTGGCACAGAATCAGAGAAGAACAGGAGGAATTCTGGGGTAGGAATGTCCCATGATTATGTCACAAAGTCAGAGCATAGGAGGAATTTTGGAGCAGGAATGGCCCATAATTGTGGCAGAGTTAGAGGAGAACAGGAGAAATTTTGAGGCAGAAATGGCCCATGATTGCGGCACAGAATCAGAGGAGAACAGGAGAATTCTGAGCCAGGAACATGGCCCATGCTGGTGGCAGTGTCACAGAGAACAGGAGGAATTCTGGAGCAGGAATGGCCCATGATCATGGCTCAGCATCAGAGAACAGGAGGAATTCTGGTGCAGGAACATGGCCCACACTGGTGGCAGAGTCAGGCAGGCTCTGTCCCCAGACAGGGCTGGTTTATGGTGTGGCACTTTGGAGCTGGACCAGTGGCCAGTTATCACCCCAGAATGAGTTAAGCTATCTCCTATCAAACCCGAGGAGAGGTGAACACCAGGAGATAAACACAATTCCTTCAGTGCCCCTTTCCCCAGGCACTTCCCTCGGGCCATGTGGGACCTTTCCTGCTTTAGTCATTGTTTTTGTTCCTTTTGCCCTGCACTCTGCTCATTTGTGGAATCAATTCTTCCCTGCACAGAGGCCAAACCAGACTGAGCTCTCCATCTACGACGAGTCCRTGGATGAGAGCAGTGCAGAGTACAAGAACCTGGAGGAGGTGAGTTGGAGTGCCAGGGGTCACTTCAGCCGTGGCTACGGGGCAGAAATCAGGAATTTTAATCAGGATTGATTAGAGGGGAAATCCCCTGTGCCACTGCAAATAACGGAAAGTTCATTGCAAATGTCATTTTAAATCCCTGCGCTGAGGAGCAGTGGAGGAGAAGGTAGGTTACCCCACAGAGGTATTTTTTCCTCCCCACAGAGGAATTTTTTCATCCATTTTGGGTCAAACAACTCAGGTTCAATCACACCTGGGATTTTTACACCCTGGGGCGAACTTGGAGAGCCAGGTTTGGTTCTGTCCCAAAAGAAAAGTCATCAGTGGAGATTTTCAGTGCAGATTTTCAGTGCAGATTTTGGTTCAGTCCCAAAAGAAGTGTCTTCAGTGGAGATTTTCAGTGCAGATTTTGGTTTTTTTGTGATTTTCACCCACATTTGGGGCCTGGGAAGAGATCCCCTCTGAGGCTGACCTCCCCCATGGGAGCAGAGCAGCCTCCAAATGCCAGCTTTCCTGTGTGGAGAAGGGCTGGGGCTGCTGGGGTGTGACAGTGACACCGGGCTGTGACAGGAGAAAAGGGATGGAGCTCCTGGGGTGTGACAGTGACACTGGGCTGGGCCAGTGGAGCTCCTGGAGGGTGTCTCTGTGTGACAATGACACTGAGCTGTGCCAATGGGGTTGGGATGGAGCTCCTGGGGTGTGACAGTCACCGAGCTGTGCCATTGGAAAAGGGCTGGGGCTGCTGGGATGTGACAGTGACACCGGGCTTGTGACAGTGGGGATGGGATGGAGCTGCTGGGGTGTGACAGTGACATCGAGCTGTGCCAGTGGAGCTCCTGGGGTGTTTCTCCATGTGACAATGACACTGAGCTGTGCCAGTGGAGCTCTTGGCGGGTTTTTCCATGTGACAATGACACCAAACTGTGCCAATGGTGCTCTTGGTGGGTTCTTCCATGTGACAATGACACCGAGCTGTGCCAGTGGAGCTCCTGAGATGTTTCTCCATGTGACAATGACACTGAGCTGTGCCCGTGGTGCCCTTGATGGTTTTTTCCATGTGACAATGACACCAAGCTGTGCCAGTGGGGAAGGGATGGAGCTCCTGGAGGGTTTTCCATGTGACAATGACACCAATCTGTGCCAGTGGTGCCCTTGGTGGGTTTTTCCATGTGACAATGACACCGAGCTGTGCCAGTGGCGCTCTTGGCATGGTTTTCCATGTCACACCATGCCACCAGCCCTTACCCTGCCCCTCTCCTGCACCCTTTAGGAGATGTTTGGCAGCATGTTCCACTCAGAGACGCAGACAGCTCTGTGAGCTCGGCGAGCAGCAGCACGAGGGCAAACCCTGCAGAAGAGCCTCATCCCTCGTCCCTCGCCACCCTTGGGGACAGCTGTGCCTCTGCCTGGGGACACAGTGGCTTTGCCAAGCGGCCATCGCCCTCCAGAACGGACAGATCCTCCCTCCTCCTCCTCCTCCCTGCCCTGCCCGTGGCACTGGGCCCTGGCAGCGGATGCAGGTGCCCAGGAGATGCCATCCCATGGATTGTTGGAGTTGTTCAGGGGGATGTTCAGCCGGCTCTCGATCCCTCACAATCCTTCTGCCCGCGCTGGAATTGTGTAATTCAGGCATCCTGCTCCTTCCCTGCTCCTTCCCTTTCCCTTTTTCCCCCATGAAATAGAAACTCCCAGAGCCTCTCAGGGCTTGGGTTCCCGAGCAGCAGCAGCTCTGGCTCTGCTGTTCCCGATGTGCACTGACCCCGGGGCTGCAGCCCCCGAATTTCCCTGCAGCCTCTGCCCCTCCTGTGGCCTCTCCTCCATGTCCCAGCATCCCAAAAAACCTCTGCCTCGAGCCACTGCTGTATTTCTGACACCCCAAAAACCTCGGTATTCTCTTTGCAGGGCTAAATTCTGAAATAATTTTTTTTTTCTTAATARCAGGACAGGTTTTAATCAGAAATAAGAATTTCTTGTTCAATATACATTGTCCTGCCTGCCCTAAATATTAAATAAATTTGATATTATATTAAAATATAATCCACTTTCATGTACTCAACTGGGTTGAAACAGAAGTGGATTATATTTTAAAATGCTATTTCTATTTTATTACTCAAGAATGTTAAAAATATAAGCAAGATTTAATGTCCAGTTTTAAAGTACACAGATATTATTGAGCTGAGTGCTGAAGGCTTCCTGGGAAGAGAATGTGAGGCTTTCCTACASCTCCCAGATGTCCCATTTTTAAGGAAAATGCAGCTTCCTGAACCAGAAACCAGAAGGAAACAACAGCAGGACCCTGCCAGTTTGGTTTTATGGAACATCTCAATAATGAAGTCACCATTTCTCTACCTCAGTTTCTGATTATGTGGTGCAGGAGAGAGCAATAAAACCAAAGGAGGGTAGAAAACCCCGCTAGCTGATGGTAATTACTTATTTTCATCTCAGACAGCAGTGGTTGYTCCAGAAATCTCCATGTATAGCTTGTTTTTCAAGGAAAAAAATCGAGATATCAAGTCTCTTAAATTACTTTTGAGAGTGATTCCTCTTGGTCTTTCGTTCTGCCTGAGTGCTCCTTTCATTTGCTAATTTGAAATAAAAGAAAGGCAACAAAAAAATCGGGGCAGAGCAACAAGAAACTGTTCTGATCAATATTTCTGGGTCTCTGAGGTGACATCATGGTAAAAGAGGGAAATTCTAATTCTCAGTTCAGGATTTGTTACAGGAGCTTGATTTCCCTCCTTCCCAGTTGGGGTCTGACAGGCCAAAYGCAGGAATCAGGCATAAAACAGATCGAATTTCCTGAACTTCCTACAAAAAAATGGAATGAGATGTAAAAAAAAATAAAATAAAATAAAAACAGAACAGCAGCAGTGGATCTTCTGCAAATCATGACCCAGGCAGAAGAAAACCCAATTTCTGTAGCCAAATTCTGGGTCTGCAATAAATGCAACATCAGCAGGCAAACAGCACTGCTGGAGGCAMAACGTGGCCAAAGTCTTCATTCCCAAGTGCCTGGGCAGAGAATCAGGGAAGCTCAAAGTCACACTGGTTTTCCAGTCACACTGGAAATATTTTAACTTCCAGGAAAATATTCACTTTTTTGCTCTTAAGTCAGTGAGGTTGATGTGTAATGGCTCKGAAGCCTGACTTGGTAAATGCATGATGTATAACCAGCTCTGAAATGTTTGTAATTTATTTAATTTAATGTTGGTTTCGTTCTTTTTTTTTGATAATAAAGAATGTGTGAACAATCATTGTCTTCTTCTGACTCGAGGGCAGGGTTTCCATGGCTGTTCCCACTTGGGATTTGGCATTCTGGGAGAGTTTGTGCCATGGAAAATGGGATAAATCTTCACATTCAGGTCAGAACAGTTGTAAAGAAGGGAATAAGAGCTGTTCCATCGTGCTAATTGGTGGAATTGAGGAACGAAGTGACACTTTTGAAAAGCAGGTGGATTTAAAGTTTATCAGGAGTGAGGCTGGCACAACACAAGAGATTTCCCAGGCTGTCACTTGGAACAGTCCTGGCATCCTTCTGTTTTACTTGCAGCCCCAGTGAGCTTGGGAGTTGTTATTCCCAGCAGGAACTCCTTTTATCCCCATCCTTTTGGGAGCAGCACCCTAAGATACTGTGAAGAAATTCTTYCCTGTGAGGGTGGCAAAGCCCTGGCACAGAGAACCTGTGGCTGCCCCATCCTTTGAAGTGTTCAGTGCCAGGTTGGACTGGGCTTGGAGCAGCCGCGGTTAATGAAAAGTGTCCCTGCTGTGTCAGGGATTGAGACAGGATGAGATTTAAGATCCTTTCCACCCTAAACCATTCCAAAACTCCCGCAGCTGTAATTTATAGCACCACGGCCTGCCGCCATATCAGCTGCGAACTACAACTCCCAGCAGCACCCGCGAAAGGGGGCGGGCTCAACCCGCCTCTGCCCCAATCCCATTGGTCACTATCCAGACGAGGCGAGCGATGATTGGCTCCGGGGCACGTCCGTCACGGCGGCGCGTGTCTGGCTCAGTGATGGCGGGCGGGCGGCGGGCGGTGGTGGCGGCGCTGCTGGCGCTGGGCTCGGTTGTGCTGGCTTTGGCCGCCGCCGTCCTGCTCCGCGCCTTCGTCCTGCGAGCCCCGGCCGGAGTCCCGCGGCTCTGGGCACGGAGCGCMGGCACCGCCGCCCTCAGCGCCGGCGAGCGGCGGGAGCTGAAGGAGGCGCTGCGAGGTGAGGGGGGGGCCCGCGGTGTGAGCCCCCCTCGCCCCCGGGCAGGCCCCTCCTCAGGGGGGACGGGTGTGGAGGAGGCCGCTCCCCGGGTGCTTTCCCTGGGAGGAACCGGGTGTTGGCWCCCGGCAGGACTGAGGAAGTGACTGAAAATCTGTGCTGGGCATTGCTGAGGCCACACCTYSASCGCSGTGTCCAGTTCAGGAAGGATTGGAGCGTGTCCGGGGGAGGGAGGGGAGATGGGGAAGGGTTTGGGGAATCCTGAGRGAGCTGGGAAGGGGCTCAGCCTGGARMAAAGGGGGATCAGRGGGGAMYTTSTGGCTCTGCACAACTCCCTGACAGGAGGGGGCAGCCGGGGGGGATTTGGGATCTGATCCCAGGAACAGGGACAGGAGGAGAGGGAACGGCCTCAGGCTGGGCCAGGGGAGGCTCAGGGTGGACATCAGCGGGAATTTCCTCATGGAAAGGGCGGCCAGGCCTGGGAAGGGGCTGCCCAGGGAGATTTGGGGTCCCCATCCCTGGAGGGGTCACCTGGACGTGGCACTGAGTGCTCTGGGCTGGTGACAAAGTGGGAATCAAGCCCTGCTTGGACTCCATCCTGGAGGGATTTTCCAGCCTCTGATCCTGTGGCTCTCCTGAGCCAACTCTTGCCCTGTGTTGATTTTCTCCACCATTTCCTGCTCGTRCACCCAGAATTTTGCCAGACTCCCGTGACAGCATTTCCAGACATCCCTTTGTCCACTGGATAAGTGTCTGTCAGGATTTTTTTCTCTTTCTTGCTCACTTCTGTGACCAGTCCTGGGATGTTTGTGCTGTCTGACGTAGAWGATTGGAGGGGTTTAGCTCTGTGCAGGAAACCACAATCTGGCACGAAGCGATAAAACCCTGTGTGTAAACCTCATACCTCGCTGGTTTGTAGGATTTATTGCCTAGCAAATCATGTTTGCATACTTCTTTTAATGGGAAAATGAAGGATGACAATAGATTTTTGTGTTAATTCTTGAATCACGCGACCTCAAAAGAATCCATAACCTCGCCTGGCAGCTGCTCTTTGGAAAAGCAGCTGGGACTGAGTTATTGCCATGATCTGCAGGACAAGGACTGGATGTTGGAGAGCCTGTTTCAATGACACAGCAGATTAAAAGGGCCAGCAAAAGCCCTGTCTGTTTATTTATGTTAATCTCTAAAGCAGTGTGAAGGTGTAATAACCATCAGACCAACACAACCTGCCTTGGTCTTGAGAAAGAACCTTGGACTGCCAACTCAGCTGCCAGAGGAGTTTATGACTCTGAGGAATCAGATCACCCGAGCAAATTGCAGCTGCTCCTGGACAGTAGCATTTCGAACGATATCTTTCAACACTTGGGGATGAGAAGTGGAGCCAAATTATCTGGAGAGATACCTTGGCCAGGCTGTTAGGAAACACCGGTGGCTGCATGTGCAYAGCTCAGCTGAGGCACATCAGTCTTTTTTTTTCATTGTGGCTGTGCTGTGAAATAATGTTTAAAGCCTGGGAAATGTTCAGGGAACATAAATATCCTTCCCCTTTTTTGAAATGTAATTGGAGCATTGTTGATTTTGGTGCTGAATAATTTCTGGTTTGTGTTTCTTTGAAGGGGCCATTAAAATCCCAACTGTGTCCACATCTCCGGAGGATCTGAATACAACTGCCATGGCAGAGTTTGGAACTTACATTCAGAAAGGTATTGAACTTTCACTCCTGGCAATCTCTGCTGCAAAATTTCATTTTCATAAAAATTGAAGAGAGCATATATCATTGCTGAATAGAATGGAGCAGTTTTAGATTGTTCCTGAAGAAAGGCCTGTCAGAATTGTCACCCACATGCCCTCTCTGCAACAGTGTTTTGGGGTTATCAGTGGCCCCAAAAAGCTTCAAAAGACWTTTTGTAATGATGGGTTTTGATCTTAGAGATGGATAAACACCATAAAAAAATGAAAGAGGATGACTGCTGCTGCTTCAACCTAATTTTGTGGCAGTTCCATCATTGCTCCCTGCAAAAGAGATGCAGCACTGCTGAGCAAGAATTCTGGGTTTGTTAAGGAGAGTTTTAAACACCAAGTGAGATGGATGGGTAAAAGTGTGAGAACTTCTGTTCTCTGTTGTGGTCAGTCTTATTTACAGTTCCCCCCACGAGGCTACATAGGTGACAACTCTATGGAATAATGCTAAAMTTGAATATTATCATTAATTTTTTTCTTTTACATGTGTTTTTAACTCTTTCTCTTAACAGTCTTCCCGGCTGTATTTTCTTCCAAGTTCATCCAACATGAAATTGTTGGGAACTACAGCCACCTCTTTACTGTGCAGGGCTCTGCCCCTGCCCTGCTGCCCTATATGCTGCTGGCACACATGGATGTGGTGCCTGCTCCCCCCGAGGGCTGGGATTTCCCTCCTTTCTCAGCTGCAGAGCACGAAGGTTTCATCTATGGACGAGGAACGCTGGATAACAAAAACTCTGCCATTGTACGTGTGCTGGGTAACGTCCTTCTCCAAAAGACACAGCCTGGAAAAGCCATCCATCCTCTTGAAATTCACTCTGTTGTCCCTCTTGATGTTACAGATCAATTCCTAAGCCCTGCAGTTTTCTCCCAACTTTTCCCAGGGGTGGAGTGACCGCTGTTACTGAAGAGAGTTAAAGCACWGAGGAGAATCAGGAGAGCATATTCAGATGCAGATGTATTTGGTTAAATGGCAAATTTTATGGCACAGGGTGCCCAGAGAAGCTGTGGCTGCCCCTGGATCCCCAGAAGTGTCCAAGGCCAGGCTGGACAGGGCTTGGAGCACCCTGGAATAGTGGAAAATATCCCTGCCCATGGCACTGGATTTTCTTTAAGGTCCCTTCCAACCCAAACCATCCATGATTCTCTGTCAGATGCACCAGGGACAGACCTTTTCCTTTTTCCCAGGTGTCACACAGGCATTCAAAGCCAAAATTTGCCCTTTGAAAAGTCTTGGGTTTCAAATTAAACACTGTTTATATATTAGGCTAGACAAATAAGCCTGCATCTTTTATCCAGCCTGTGGCAGAACAAAGAGCTGTTGTACGAAACACATTTGAGAGGATTGTACTGAGAAAAGATTGATCTGTGAGGGATTTCTCATTGGGAAAAG